TGGGATCATTTGGCCACTATATATTCTGGCATAGATAATTTTACTCGTGCGTATGAGGTGTGCAAGGAGTACTTCTGGTTGGAGCAAGGTACTCTAAGCCTTGCAGATTATTACTCTCATGTTCGAGGAGTCTGTGAGGAGATGAAGACTTACCATCCATTTACTACTAATGCAACAGTTTGGCATAAGCAACATGAGGACCTGAATGTTGTTAGGTTTTTAGTAGGATTGAAACCTGAATATGAGGCTATTCGTTCTCAGATTTAGATCTAGTCTTCCATCACTGCTGGAGGTTTTCTCTCGTTTACAGCGTGCTACACTGTCTACTCCTTCAGTTATTGATCATGGTGTCTCTACTAATCGCTCAGCTCTTGTGGTTCCTAATAGCCATAGTGATGGTCATCGAGGTGGACGTGGTGGTCATGGAGGTTGTACGGGTGGTCGTAGTGGATCCCGTTCTCACTGTGGTCGTGGAGGACACACTGTTGACTTTTGTTGGGATTTACATGAAAAATCTTCTGGTGCTGCTAATCATTCTTCTTATCAGGATGATACATCAGTTGTTGCTTTCATACCTCGGTCAGCTCTACCAAACACTAGGTCAGTTACTATTACACTGGGTCAAGAGGAGCATGCCCAGTTCCTGTCCCAGCAACAAGCTATTCCATCTCCCTCCACTGCTACTTTTGCCCAGTCAGGTACTGCTTCCACTTGTTTGTTGTCTTACACCCGCAGTTCCTGGATCATAGACTCTAGCGCTTCTGACCACATGACTGGTGCGTTTGATGTTATTTCTACTTATCAGTCTTTTACTTCCATACGTAGTGTTATTCTTGCTAATAGTACTTATTCTAAAATTTCAGGTCTAGGGACTACTCACTTGAGTCCTGCTATGTCCCTATCATCCGTGTTATTTGTTCCTCAGTTTCCTTTTAGTTTATTTTTCATTAGCAAGATTACTCATTCTCTCAATTGTTCTGTAACCTTTTATCCCTCTTATTGTGTCTTTCAGGATCTCCAGACGAAGAGAAAGATTGGTACGGAGCATGAAGCCGGTGGCCTATATTACTTTGATTTTGACTCACCTACTCGGGCTCTACAGATCTCGTTGTCTCTTTTTCAATGGCATTGTCGTCTTGGACATCACTCTCTCCAAAATATAAAGCGCCAAGTTCCCAGTCTTAGTTATGTGTCGTCTCTATCTTGTGAAGCTTGTCAACTTAGTAAATATCACCGTGTATCATTTCAGTCTAGAGTCAATAATCGTGTGTCTAGTCCATTTGAATTAGTCCATTCTGATGTATGGGGTCCAATAAAGAATATTTCATCTAATAAATATCTTTATTTTGTGACATTTGTGGATGACTATTCTCGTGTGGCTTGGTTGTTTTTTATGAAAGCTCGATCTAAATTATTCTCTATATTTGAGACTTTTCGTAAGGAAATTAAAACACAGTTTGGTTGTCGTATACATACTTTACATTCTGATAATACTCGAAAATATGAATCTGATCCTTTTTCAGCTTATCTTAGTAAAACTGGCATTATTCATCAGACTTCTTGTGCTTACACCTCTCCACAAAATGGTATTACTGAATGCAAAAACCGTCATTTGTTGGAAGTCACCCATGCTCTGTTATTCCAGATGAATATTCCCCGATATTATTGGAATGATACTGTTCTTACTATTTGTCATCTTATCAATCGTATGTCATCCTCTGTGTTAAATGGGCAAAGTCCAAATTCTGTTCTTTTTCCCGATAAGCCTTTATTTTTTTTGACTGCTAAGGTTTTTGGTTGTGTTTGTTATGTTCACAATTTGGGGTCTGAGTTTGATAAACTTGACCCTTGAGCTACCAAATATGTATTTCTTGGTTACTCCTGCACGCAGAAGGGGTATCGTTGCTACAGTCCTTCTCTGCACCGATACTTTACTAGTGCCGATGTCACATTTGAAGAGTCTGTTCCATACTTTCCAGCACCTTCTCAGTCTTTGGATCTGGACTTTAGATCCTTTCCTGTACCACCATTTCTTTCTTCATCTTCAGATATTTCGCTGCCCACTATGTTACCATCTACTTTACCTCTCCATGTCTATTCTCGCTGTCCTCAGTCATCAATTGAGGTGCCTGTACCGTCTTCCTTGTCGCCTTCTGATCCTGGTACATTAGGTAATTTAGACTCTCTACCTATTGCTCTTCGCAAAGGTACTCGATCATGTGTTACTAATCATCCCATTTCTCATTTTATTTCATATGATGTCTTGTCTCCTGTCTTCTCTAATTTTATTTCTCAATTATTTGTTATATCTATTCCTAAGCATTCACAGGATACATTATCTAATCCGGGTTGGAGGAAAGCTATGGAGGAGGAGATGGATGATTTACATCATAATGGGACTTGAGATCTCGTTCTTTTACCCTTTGGTAAACGAACTGTTGGCTGTCGTTGGGTGTATACTGTTAAATTTCATCCAGATAGTTCTGTGGAGCGTCTCAAAGCCCGCCTTGTTGCAAAGGGCTTTACTCAAACTTATGATGTTGATTATAAGGAGACTTTTTCTCCTGGTGCCAAAATTTCCTTTGTTTGTATCTTGATTTCTTTGGATGCTAATCTTGATTGGTCCTTGTTTCAGTTAGACATCAAGAATGCCTTCTTACATGGTGACTTGGTTGAAAAGGTATACATAGAGCAGCCACCTGGGTTTACTGCTTAGGGGTGTATGGTAAGAGTATATGTCGGTTAAAAAAATCTTTGTATAGGTTGAAGCAGTCACCGAGGGCATGGTTTGGTAAGTTTTCAGATGCAATTTTAGAATTTGGTCTTTTTCGATGTCAGACAGATCATTCTGTGTTTCATAGACAGACAGATGCTAGATATGTCCTATTGGTGGTCTATGTAGATGATATTGTGATTACTGAAAATGATTCTGAGGGGATTGTCAAGTTAAAAACATTTTTACAGGATCGATTTCATACTAAGAATTTGAAAAAACTCAAGTATTTCTTGGGTATTGAGGTGACTCGATATAAACAGGGTATTTGTTTATCCCAGAAGAAATATGTACTTGACATGCTTGAGAAAGCAGGTTTGTTGGGTAGTAGACCAATTGATGTTCCTATGGATCCGAATCAGAAATTATTAATGGATGATGGTGTATTGTTTGAGAATCCGAGTCGATATCGCAGATTAGTTGGGAAGCTTAATTATCTCACTATTACTCGACCGGATACTTCCTATGCAGTCAGTATAGTAAGTCAGTTTATGGGATGTCCTAGAGTACCACATTGGGAGGCAGTTACTCGTATTCTGTGATATCTCAAACGAGCTTCTGGACTTGAACTGTTATATCGAGCTAATGGACATCTTAGAGTGGAAGGTTTCTCATATGCTGATTGGGCTGGCTCTCCTTCTGATCGAAGATCAACCACTGGTTATTGTACTTTCTTAGGAGGTAATGTTGTCTCATGGAAAAGTAAGAAACAACCCGTGGTAACAAGATCCAGTACCGAGGCTGAGTATAGGGCAATGACACATATGACGAGTGAGTTGACTTGGCTACTATACTTCCTCCAAAAAATTGGGTTTCCAGTTCAACTTCCTTTACAATTGTTTTGTGACAACCGGACAGCTATCAATCCTGTGTTTTACGAGAGAACCAAAGCATATTGAAGTTGATTGTCACTTTATTCAGGACAAGATAGTAGCTGGGAGATTACAACTCCATTTGTGAAATTTGAAGATCAGCTTATAGATATGTTTACCAAAGCATGGAGTCGTACACATCTTACAGCTATTTGTTCCAAACTTGAATTATATGATATATACAGTCTAGCTTGAAGGGGAGTGTTAAGAATAATAGAGTAGTATGTGTAAATTATTAATAGTAAGAGGAAGAGAATGTATGTGTAATTCTTATTATTGTAGGTTAACTATAAATACAAGTGATGTATGAGAGCTAGGTTATGTTTTTGACCACTCTCTATTTCCCTCTAATATTGTGTTAATTCTCCAAACTTAACAAAGCTGAAAGAAGATCACTCCATATTTTTTTGATAATAATAGAATTATAATATTATGAAAATAGAATTATTATTTAACAACAAAGATACATGGAAGAGAAATATCAATGCAATTGTACAATATGGAATAAAAATTCGATAATAGTGTTGAGGGGTGTTTGTGCACAATAAGAGAAAAAGAGCAGCACATTGGCATTATGGACAAGGTGACCACTATGCCCATTATGGATAAAGCCAATTCTGCAAGGCATTTTTGCAAACAAAAATAGGTAGCAAAACTTCTGTTACATATAAAAGAGCTAAACCTATAAAGCACGGACACTACTTGAAGTAGTACTGTGGCTGTGTGATAGGACTCCAAAACGGACATGCGCCGGACACGGGCGGACAAGTGTTTGACATAGCTAGAAATGTACTGAATAGTGAACTCAAACGGAAACATCTAAAAACAGTTAGAATATGACCAAGATTTTTATTTAGAAAAAATGACTTAACTATTAAGAAGGGTGTAGGAGGAGGAAGGAGAGGAATAAGAAGATGAAGATGAAGAAGAGGAATAAGAATAAAGAGTAGAAGAAAAAGGAGTAGGATGAGGTACTAGGCGGCGTAGGAGAGGGGAAAGAGGAGGAAAAGAAGAAAAAGATGAAGAATAAGAAGGGCAACGAAAAGGAAGGGGAAGAACAAAGGAGGAGGAGGAGGAAGAGGAGAAAAAGGAGGAGGATAATGAGAAGGGAAGAGGGAGAGGAAGAAGAAAAACAAGAGGAAAGTATAAGAAAAATGAGGAGAAGAAAAAGTAGTCGGAGGAAGACGAAAAAGGAGAAACAGAAGAAAAAGTAGGAGGACGAGAGGGGAAAGAGGAGAAGGAGAAGGAGAAGAAGAATAAGGAGGACAATGAAAAGGAGAAGGAGAAGGCATATTAGCAGGAAAAAAATCAGAACAACTGCAAGATACTCTTATTGCCTTGTCCACGGAACCCAATTAGAGCCTATTGGCTCCAACAACGAGCGAAAGCACAGCACAGGTGTAACCCTTCAGCGATGCAGCCGGTTCAGGGCAACTGATTACAAAACTGGATTTCCAGGCTAGTATGATGTCATCCTGCAGCCACAAAGGTGTAAAAAATAAGTGCCTAAACACTCGAGATTTTTAGCAAATAAACAAAGACATGAAGCAATTCAAGAGTTCTGAAAACAGATACTCACCTATGTCACAGCAAAAAGCAAGTCATTACCCACAAATACCAAGACATAAACTTGCCCAACTGGTCCATTAAAAGTGTGCTCACCATTAAACTGAATGTCACATGCCCACAATATCACCCACATATGCCAAATGAAGGAAAGGTACCATCAACAATGCAATGGAAAAACTTTATCAAGACGGCTTTGCAACAATAAAAATTATTTATGTTAACAAGTCCAAAGGCACTACCTCAACAGCATTTCGCAATCCGACAAACCCCCATGGACCTTCACTAATCAAAGTCCCACTTATGCTCTCAAGTTTAACAACAGCAACACATTGCATTACACATGGAAAAATCATAACAAATATGTACACCATCAATTTAAGAGAACCCATTCACAAAGAAAATAATCAAAACAGATAACACCAACCTGGCCAGTATTGCAGTCCCACAGAGGCACAGTTTTGTCATCACTACATGAGAAGAGCTTTGTCGGATCCAGAAGAAAGGATGATCCCAGCGGATGAATTCGAAAAAAAATAAATAAATAAAGATGTGTGAGCGTGTATTTTGAGCAGTTGGAAGATATAGGAAGATATGAAACCAAAAATAAAAGACAAAGAATATCAAAAATACTAAGAGGTGATGATTGACGGCATAGTATGTGCAGAATCCCATTCATGGTTTGAATATTGTGCATATTGATAGAAAACCAACAATGAAAAACAGTTTTCCTAGTAATAGCATTTTCTACATAAGGTTCACATAGCTTTTGTGAAGACAATTTACATTCTGAATTTAGGATTAACGGGTTGGGCATGTGTAACGATGCTGACAAGAGGAATTATACAGCCTAAAGTGTCGATAGTAACTTGTTGAACATTGTGACAAATGCAATCAGAAGATATCTGACTGTCTTAAGCACGCCATATGTGTTATATTGCATGACTCTCTTGCCATGAACGAGGCCAATTTCATACAAAATTAGTCAATTATTGGTAAAATCATGATTGACTTTAATTTCAAGATATGTTATGAGTCTTATGACATCCATCAACTTTAAGAAATTATACATGTTCACTCATATTTTTTAATATATTTATAGGAATATTGCCCTCAACTGACATAAAAAAGGAAAAGGAAAAGGAAATCCCCTAAAATACGTCCCAACAAAAAACGCTAAAGATTTTCCTTTCTTTCTTAGAAGTTATTAATAGCTTTTTCAACTTTTTCATTAATTTCCCACACATTCAGGTCCTCTTTTTTCTTCCCCGTGGTACTCCAATTCAATCGACTAAGCTCCAATTTTCCAATTAGAAGTTAGTTAATTTGAGGGTTGTAATAATAATAAACAATTTTGCATCTGTATATATAGGATACCAATGTAACAGCTTACAGAGAGATGGAAGGATATTCTGCAGCAATGCTTTGATCATCTTCTTCTAAGTTCTTCAATCATATTCTTGAATCTTTCATACTGTTCATTATTAGGAATAATGCACAAACAGGTCCTCAGAAATTTAAGAATATGAGGAGATTAAAAATACAGAAAAGAAAGAAACAGTCCACAATATCCTTTTGCACTCAGAAGAAGTGTTATACAAGATTCCTTGATCACATATATTAAATAACGTCTAATAATAAAATTAGAAAAATCTAAAGTAAAAAATCTAATTACACAGTCCTAAAAGTCTCAAATGTGTCAAAATACATTAAATTTCAAAAACTCCAAAAAGATGAAAGAATCTTTTTCCAAAAACTATAAAGTTTCACAAGTCGCCAAAACAACTTCTACAGAATGACTCACCAGAATGCAGGTTCGGAAAAGAACAACTTATCAAAATGCAAGTTCGGCAAAGAACAGTAGTAGGCGACCGATTATAGTTATGACTGTAGTGGCCTTGCCATGGTAGAAAATTCCCAGAAAGAACTTCGTTGTGTGAGTCAAGAGCCTTAATATCAGCGTAACTTCTCTCTCATTGGCTGAAATATAGAGGAAAAAAGAAAAAGATCATAAAATTATAGTGTAATATCATCATAATGTTGATCAAAGAGAAATTTTAAAGAGATAAATAAATAAAGAAAGGGGACCCGGTGAAGAAGAGACGACGTAGGTTTTGAGTAGATTGGGAAGAAGATATTCTATCTGCCCAAATACGGGATAAATCCAAAATGGATACAAAAATAGTGGAGCATCAAGATCTTCAAATCAAATGGGCATGCACATAATATTTATGTTGACTTACGTCTACATTGCTGCATAATTATGTACTTCATGGTCCATTAAAGAGATTATTTTGGGTTCCAAGTCACCTCAAATCAAACACACTTTTATGCAAAAAAAACATAAATATGCTAGTACACCAGAACACACACATACACACAATGTTAACACACTAATACACCAAAAAAAGACACACTCACGCATAATGTGTGTTAACATTCGACTACACAAAAAAAATACACACACTAATAAACCAAAACACACATCAGTACAAAAAAACATACACAGTTACACACGTACAATAATACACAAAAAAACACACGCATACCCCAATACACCAAAAACACACGTACAAGCAAACACACTAATACACTAAGTAAAATACACACACCAATACACAAACCACATGCACACACTTTTATACACTAAAATACACATGTACACCAAAAACATGCATATACACACACTATTACACCAAGAAATCACATTCATCCTCACTAATATATCAAAACGCACACAAACAAATACACAAAAAACATGTACATACACCCACACACACTAGTACATTGTAAACACACACAGATTAATACACAAAAACATACTAATACATCAAAACATATACACACGTATATTAAAACTCCAAAACACATACACATGCACTCCTACACAATAATACACTAAAACAAACACATACGATGTCAGGGAAGCATCCAAGTTGTAAGCATGTGAAGGTTCAAAGGGACCCCCACATCGATCTAAGTCATTCTAATGATCTTTACGCCTAAAAAACACACACTCACATTATTACATCAAAAAAAAAAAAAACACTCTCCAATATAAAATGGACATACTAATACACAAAAACACATGCACACATACTCTAGTACACCAAAACTTTGTATGCAAAAAAAAAATACACATACACACAAGTATGCTAGTACACTAGAACACACACATAAAAGCATACACAGTCACACACATACAATAATACACAAAAAAACACACGCATACGACATACCCCAATACACCAATACACCAAAACACACGTACAAGCAAACACACTAATACACTGAGTAAAATACACGAACCACATGCACACACTTTTATACACTAAAACACACATACACCAAAAACATGCATATACACACACTATTACACTACGAAAATAAATACATCCTCACTAATGCATCAAAATGCACACACACAAATACACCAAAAACATGCACATACACTCACACACGCTAGTACATTATAAACACACACATTAATACACAAAAACAAACATACTAATACCTCAAAACATATACACATATACTAATACTCCAAAACACATACACGTGCACTCCTACACAATAATACACTAAATCGAACACATAGTATGTTAGAGAAGCATCCGAGTTGTAAGCATGTGAAGATTCAAAGGGACCCACATCGATCTAATTCGTTCTAATGATCTTTATGCCTAGAAAACACACACGCATTATTACATCAAAAACAAAACACTCTCCAATATAAAATGGACATACTAATACACTAGAACACGTGCACACATACTCTACTACACCAAAACACATGTAATAATACATCAAAAAAATTCACATAATACAAATAAAAACACAGTAACACACCACGTATAAGTACACTTATGCACCAAAATACACACACTAGTACATCAAACACACACGCACATATTTACGCACACATATACTCATACCTCAACACATAGCAAGTTCCAATTCAATCTGTGTTAAGCAAAGTCTCCAATTCAATCGACCAAGTTCCAACTGTCCAACTAACAGTTAATTTGTGGGTTGCAATAATAATAGACAGTTTTGCATCTGTATATATAGGACAGCAAAGCAACAGTTAACAAAGTGATGGAGGGATATTCGGCAGCAATCCTTTGATCACCTTCTTCTGAGTTCTTCAATCATATTCTTGAATCTTTCGTACTGTTCATTGTTAGGAATAATGCACAGGTCCTAAGAAATTTATGAATATGACGATATTGAAAATACAAAAAAGAAAAAAACAGTCCACAATATCTTTTTGCACTCGGAATAATTTTTATGCAAGATTCCTTACCACCATTGAATTAGCGATGAGCATAATTCAGTGAAACCAGCAATGCCGTTGAGAGACATGGAGCACCCAGTGAAAAGAATCGTCCCTTTTCTTCTCTCCACATAGAGAAGATCAAATTCTAATTAATTGCAGAGAGATTGAAATTTGAGAAGGGATTTGGAGAATCTGTTGGATGCAGTGAAAGGCACCGACGGAAAAGATGGCCATGGATTTGTTGAATGATTCGACGCGAATTCTGAGAAATTGGTAGAGTGAAAGGGGACGGGTCTGTATGCATTGTAGACTAAAACTTTACAACGCCTACAGAGAGAACCATGGCCGGCTCAACAATGGAGCGGAAAAAGCATGGGATTTAGCCCACACGTCAAAAAGGCCCCAAATTTTAAAGTTCAGTACCGTAATATGTATCAAAAATTAAAACTCTTTATAATTTAGTTTAACAAAAAAAATTCTAAAAGATTAAGTCAAAATAAAAATTATAATTTAGATTTAAAAGTGCAATCTACGTCACAAATATACATTACACATACATGTTTATTAAAGAACAAAAAAAAGTTAACACTTTAATAAAAAAGTATAATAAGTATTTCTCTCTTTCACGCATTAAAATAATCAAACACATTTTTTATTTATCTCAAATTCGATGATGATCTATGTATATTTTCAATTCCTATGGATTTTACCATTGAGTAATTGCATTCATATAGTATGATTATGAAATAACACATATCTAATATTTATTATATATTAAATACCAAAATTATCAAAAATAAAAATTATGCGACACCATGTTATAA